TTTATTTAGGGGGGGGCTCTAAATAAAGTTTTTTTCAACCCCCAAGTACTACCCCCCTTGTAGAGTTGATTCGGGGCCACTTTTCAAACAAGAGTATGTAAAGAATTTGCAGTTTGGGAGCTAGTATTTTTTGTAGATCTGAAATTTTAAGGCAGGCGAGGCAGATACTGACCAATCAGACAAGCTGGTGGAAGAGGTTGAGATGATGCTGGCGGGTGTGTGTGTGTGTTGTTTGGTGTGTTGTTTGGTGTGTTTTTATGAGTGTGTGTGGAGCCCCCGCCAAAACATACAAAACATAACTTTATTTCGGGGGGGTTATTAATCAGTGCCGGCCCACAACATAACTTTAATAGGGGGAGGTTTTTTAATCATAGGTCGACATTAAGGCCACCAGGGCCTTGTTGAAACACATTTTGGCAAATGGGCCGGCTTTGTGGGTCAGCTGGCCGGGTGCCGGCTAAGTGGTTGGCCCAGAATCCGAGACTGGGCGGGCTGTTGTCTATCTTTGATTCGTTACTGGTGTCGGGTAGACTGCTCTTATCTAATGCCAGCGTTTTCTTGATGACTCGGAGCATTTTGGGAGCTGTTCAACTTCCATTTGGTTAAGGTAATGTTTTTATTATCGCCGGCTGCCTTCTGGGGGGAATGGTCCTGAGTTGCATTTGGAGCTTGACGTTGTTGGAGCTACCGCTACCTTATCATTGTTGATTTTTGGTGTTCCAAGTAGCTGCCGTTGGGCCTACAACTCACAGACGATTTAGCCTCTTGTTGGAAGTGGGCAGAGGCCCCACCGGTTCAGCTAACAACCTAAGGACGTTTTCCTCTTTGAAGGCCTTAGGTTGGAAGCATGAATCGCCGGTGACACCATTCTTGGTGTAAGCAGTTCATCTAACCATGGTAGGCCTTTATGTGTCCTTCCGAGTGGTGGCTAGGGTTGCCACACTCGACCGGTTGGTTGTGTCTCCATTTTCGGGGCTGGTAAGCGGGCGATCAGACCATCAGGGTCAGCTTTACCAGTTTATTCAGATAATTCCCTTTGAAGCAGGTGGTCTTCGGATGTATCCTTTGAGGCACCCTGAGGGTTGAGTTGAGTCGGGATCTGCCATGCCTGGCAAAATGCTTGCCTTTGCTGGTGCTGAACTTTGTGCCTTTTGTTTTCCTCATTTTCCCTTGCAACCAGCACTAGGTTAACTTTGGGGCCTATCAGTGCGGCCCATCAGTGGCAATAACCCCTCGCTGCAGATTTACATGGAGCCCAAACACTGTCATCTCAAGAAGAACCTCGACGGGGGGACCCCTTTCTGGGCTCCATGTGAAAGGCAGAGGAGTAGCCAGGTAAGCTTCATGCCTTTTTTGTTTCTTGGGTTTCTGTGCTGAAATCGAGCATAAGCCTAAAGCAAAGACATATGGGAAATGGTATCAAATCGCGTTCATCTCGTGGTGTTACTGTACCAAGAAATTAGAGAAATGGAACACACATTGTTGTAACCCATTGGCCGGACTTTGCTAGTGCTTTTCTGCTCGATTCCGGCATTCAGGTTCATCCGCTTTCCTTTTCAACGAGGGAATTGCTGGGGCACCTCTGGAATTCTGCGCTTGATTCTGGCTGAACCGCTTTTCAACCATGGAATTGGATGTTTTCTTGGGGCTTCAGCTATTTCCTAGCGGAGCAATGGGACGCGTTGACCGAAGGCTTTTCATCCCACCCTCTCCTCGCACCGGATACGTTTTATTCCCCATTACAGAGGTCAGTGTCCACCAAGGCTCGCACTTTGCTAACGGAGCTATTTGACTTCCTTTGGTTTTAATTCTGATTTATAGCCTTCAAAGACCAACTCCCTTTACCCCAAGAGGATGCATAGATTACTTCTGTGGATGAACCGACCAATCCATTTCTCCCCCTGTGTCAAGGCTTCACCAGGGCCCCGCATCATCAAGCCCCCCCCTTATCATCAACGCGCCCTTCAAAGATCCCCCTTTTTTGGGCCCACTTCCTTGAGAGGTGTTCATGCAGAACATGCGGAAGACCAACAAGTCCTGGAGCGATCCGGACATCAGCGCCAGCCTCAAGCCAGATTTAGGGCTCTCTACACTAGCAAAATCTAAAGAATTAGAAAAGGTGTGTGAAGCACTATTAAACCAAACTACCTCAGGATCATCGGGGAATGTGTGTAATTGTGTTTAGTCCTTATGTTGTGGATAGTGGACCAAAAGGAACCGATAGGCAATCCGCATTCTGCAATACCAATACGGGCGCGCCCAAACCCATACGGGTCGTTCCTCATGTGCCTCTTTTCAAGCCTGTTCTATCGGGGGTTGGTTGAAAAGGAATCCAAGAGAAGCCACTTTGTTCCCCTGTTTGGAAACACATATCCACATTGTCCCTTAAGGGGGTCTGGGTTCGCAGTAAATTGGGTGCGACGGTTGTCCAGACGGCTGGTCAGATGGCTGGCCGCTGGGCTGGCCAGAAGGCTGGCCGCTGGGCTGGCTTCTCGGTTGATCCGAAGGCTGATCAGTAGGTTGTGCTGATGGCTGAGTCGTGTAGATATTTGCCCTTGGCTTTAGGGTTCCAACTACGTTTCTCAGCGGACCCGCTTAGACGGGTTCCAACTTGCACCAGAGGGCAATCTTGTGTTTCGGGCTCCCTTTTTTGTTCACCCTCCGAGCTTGTTTTTTTAACCCTTCCTTTTTTTTCAACCCTCAAACCCTGCTTGGGAACCGTCGGCGGGAACCTTGTTTCTCCAACCCTGAGAAATCCATTCTTTTCAACCCCTCACCTTGTTTTTTCACCCTTTGCCTTGTTTTTGTTCACCCTCCGCCTTGTTTTTTCCACCCGCGAGCTTGCTTGTTTCACCCCGCAACCTTGAAACAACCTAAGCCTGCCCCGCACCCAACCCAACCCAAACCAACCCTAGGCCCGCCCTAAGCCAAACCTTGCGAACCCTCAGTATCTCTAAATCCATCTCAAACCAGCCAAACACGCCCAAACCCACCCCAAACCCACCCCAAACCCACCCTACACAACACCCCCTAAACTGCAGGCAAGCCAGAAACGTCTTTTGTCCAACCCTAAACCCACCGCAAGCACCACAGACCTACTCGAAACCACCCTAAAGCATACATAACCCACCCCTAACCAATCCCAAACCGACCCTAAACCAACCCTAAACCAACAAGCCAGTCCTGCACCCACCCTAAACCCACCCTACACGAACTCTAAACCCACCCGAACCTTGATCCAACCATAATCCCACCTTAAGCTTAGCCTAAGCCAACAAAAAACCCACCCTAAACTCGCCTAAACCCCAATCCCACCCTAATCTAGCCTTAATGCAACCCTAAGCCCAACCTAAACCAACCTGAACAGACCCACCGACCCAAAACCAACCCTCAACCCGAAAACGACCCTAAGCCAATCCTAACCCAATCCTAAACCCACTCTAAACCAGCTTTAACCAATCACGAACCACCCCGAAAACCAACCTTAAACTCAAGCCCAGCGAAAACCAACCCTAAACCAACCTTGCACCCACCCTAAACTCACCCAAAAACAACCCTAAATCCCCACCCTAACAACGCTAAACCCACACTAAACTCAAAACCAACCTAGCCCGACACCAACCCTAACCAACCCTGAGCCACTCCAAAGCAACCTTAAACCAACCATAAGCCCACCCTGTACCAACCATGAACCCACCCTGATCCAACTCTAAGCGCACCCTGAGACTCTAAGCTGAGCTTGGCCCAACCCTAAATCCCTAGGCCAGCCGCAAAACCAATCCACATCCAAGCCTAAACCAACCCCAAACCCCGCCCTAGACCATCCCAGACCAACCCTGAACCAACCTATATCCAACCCAAAACAAACGAACAACATACCCTTAAACACCCTAAGCCCACCTGAAATCAAGCCACCCCAAATCAACCCTAAGCCACCCTTGAGCGACCCCAAGCCTCCCCTAGCGCAACCCCAACTCCACCCTAGACATAGACAAACCGTAAACCCGCCCTGAACCAACCCTACACCAACCCTAAGCCAACCCTACAGCCACCACAGACCTACTCGAGACCACCTAAACCAAACACAAACCCACCGAAATCCTGCTCTAAATCTACCTAATCCAACTCTACACCCGAAGCCGACCCCAAACCCACCTCAAACAGATTCTAATCCCACCCTAAACTAACACCATGTAAATCCAACATTAATCCCAAGCCTGACCTCACCCTAAACCCATTCTAACCCCCCCCTGAACCAACCCTAAATCCATCCTAAACCCGCTGTAGACCCATTCTCCAAGCCCAAAACCACCCTCATCCAACTTTAAACCCACCATATACCCAGCACAGACCTGCTCGAAACCAACCTTAAACTTAAACCGACCACAAACTTGCTCAACAAACCCTACCCCGCCTCTAAACCCTTAAATCCACCCTTCCCATCCGAAACCAACCCTAAACCCACCTACCCCCCCCGCCCGAACCCACCCTAAACAAACCCTAAATCCAAAGCCGCTCCTAAACCAACCCAACCCTGGACCGTTGCTTAGTGCAGTTGCCGCAAACTTCGGCCACAGGGTTGGCAAAAAAGAAATGGAGGGTTAAAAGGAAGAGGTGGAGGGTCAGAAAGAAAGGGGGGAGGGTTAAAAAAGAAGGGGGGAGGGTTTAAAAAAACGGGGGGAGGGTTAAATAGAAAGGATGCAGGGTTGAAAAAACAGGGAAGGGTTGAAAAAAAAGGTTTGGAGGGTGAGAAAAAAGGGTTCCCCAATCTTGTGTATAGCACCCGGAATCAACCCATTTGTTTGAGCCCATTTTAACGTCACCCACATTCGCCCTGTTTACATCCCACTTTAGCATCACCTTGTTGGAAGGTCGACGTACCATGTTGACTTTTCGGTCGGGGTGGTGTAAAGGTTGGAGCTGCAAGGAGGGTCAACAGCTGAAACATTAAAAGCGCCGGCAGGCTTGGACAACTCCTGCTTGGAGGAAGGATCTCCTTGTGGGTTCCATGTCAATCCTCAGGCCGATGTTTTGCGGAACTTTGGACTCCCTCCTTTAACTGCCGGTCAATTGGTTTAAAGGGCAAAGAGCTGTTACTGCCTGGTCCTTTTGGTTGAGGCGCTTTGAAGCTGCCCCTCCTTTCCAGATGAAAGCTTGCAGATTCTACACGGAGGAAACTGAACATTTGCTAACCTCAGTCATGTAGATTCACGCCCAACAAGGGGCGTTTCTCGCCACTTGCCATGAGACATGGGATTCTTGATGCCAGCATTTGACGCAGCTCTCGTTGCGACCAGTGGTCCTTTCGACTTGCGATGGCTTTCCCTTGAACATCCACCGGCGAGTGCGGAAATCCGCTCAGAAAGGCTCATGGGAATGTAGGGGACCCAGGATGGTTTTGGGATGTCACGCTGGCACCCTTGGAGTCGTTTTTTCTGATGCACTAAAATACCCCACTGACTGTGATAGGACCATGGTTGGGTGAAATGTTGGTTTAGAAAAGGAGCAAAAACGTACCCCTCGAAAAGGCGCAGCCACATGGGCTTAGAAATATGGTGTTCTTTGGTCGGCGAAACGTCAGCCTGTTGCCCGGCTCAGTTTTCTGGCTGGATTTGGTTTGCTGGCGTTGGTCCATTTGCAGTTGCGCCATGAGCAAGTGTGTTGTTGTGTTGTTGGGCTTTGACAAGGAAACCAAAATCATCTTACTAGAATTGTAGCTGGGCGTCTCTGGGTCCTGAATCTTGCATGCGCTTTTATAGAGAACCTGCTTGGGATCACTCCCCGTCTTTTTGGGGGCTGCATGTTTGTTTCCGGGAATGGGTCAAGAATCCAGACTCAACCTTTGCTTCGACCTTCGAGGTCGCGAAGCGAGGAAGGACAAGCTGGCGCCAGAGGTTGGGGGTGCGGAGATGTTGGGTGAAAGTAGGTGACAAAAATCCCCAATCAGGATTGCCCAGTGGAGGTGGTTCCCCATTCAAATTAGCCCACACGAAAAGGTGTCTTTTCTGGCATGGCCCCAGGGCTTTTGTGCCGTTGTTGTCAAGTCATCCCCTTTACTTACGATTAAAAAAAAAAAAAAAGGGGAGTTGTGGCATCTACTCCTGACCCAGCTGCCGGGCGGCACTGAACCACCCTTTTTGGCGGGACCCCCGAAAAGAATGGTCACCCCCCAAAAACGGGTTGCCAGGGGTCACTGAACTGGGTTGGGGAGGCATTGGCCTGGTGCGGGGTTCGCATGGCGGGTGCCTGTGGGGGCCGGGGAAGTGGGAGGTTCTCAACATGGCGGGCACAATTTTGGAGTTTCAAGGGAGCCGACCATTTTAGGACCCTTATGTTGAAAAGAAACAGGTGCTGAAGCAGCTCGGGAGATTCTTGCCCCCATTCCGATAGCTTGGTTTTCCAAGTTGATTCAGCCCCAAGAGCAAGGGCTAGGCACAAGGTCAAACAAGTAAATTTGCGGGTTGGCGAAGCAGCCCTCCAGGAAAAAGCGAGACGCCCCAACATTCTGAGATCCTTTGTTTTGCGTGGGCTCAGGGCAGCAGTAGCCAAGGGTATGATGCAGGCACCGACGTTCTTGGCTGCTGTCGGAATATGGTTTACTCCGCGTTTACTTTTTTGGTTCTGTTCATGTTTGGTGCGCGGCAAGAAACACATTCGTTTGGCTGACGTACCGGTGGTTGGGAAGTTGTCATTGGCTTATTGCCGGCGATTTGCACATTGCCCTCCCCGGAAAGTGAGATCAGTCGGCCCCATGCAACATGTCATCTTCGGCCTGCTTTTGGTCAAATGGGCGACCCCATTTCCCTTCTTTGGGGGACGGTGTTTTGGGAATGAACCGGAAACGGGATCCCCTTAAAGGAAGCCACCAGTTGCATGTTTGAAATCGGGGTCATTCCATTTCTCATTTCCGGCTGAGATCCTGTGGTTGGTGCATAGGGTAAACCGGGTGAAGCCAGGCATCGCCTCAAAGGCATCTCGGGTTCTTTGGAATGGTTTTCTGAAATTCAGTCGTCTTTGGGGGGTCGTTCACGGTGAGTTTCCCAGACATCTCAGCCCAAGCTAGGGGGAGCAGCATGTCAAGCGGAACCCTGGATACTAAGCCCTCTCGGTAGGCCGGTAGGACAGGTCTGTGCTAAAAGTCCAAATGCCCGTGATTTCGATGTGAAAGCAACCTGGAGATATCCATCCTCTTGCGAGAAAATGTCGAAGTTGGTGGGATGTGGCATAGTTGACATTATTTTTACTTTGCCTTCGCTTTTTGATCTAGTCGCAGATGGGTTGCTTGAACTGCGGCTTAGTGCAGCCGAGTTTGAGACATCCAAGGCGCCCCCGACCTTTGACGCCCTGATGCCTGGGCTTATACCACGCAAACTGTGGATTTTTCTGCTGGTGACCTCAGTCATATTCGCATATATAGAACGGCTTATCGGTTGAGCTGACTTCAAACTTGTTGGCAGGTTCTTTAGTTCAGTCAGGAGCCAAAAAATGGCGGATCTTTGG